AATCTCTTTCCCTTTTTCTTCTTTTTCTACAACGAAAATTCTTTTGCCCATATACGTGACTAAATTATTATTATTATTATTATTATTATTATTATTATTATTATATTCTTTAGTTTATACCGAAACCGAAATCGTTTATTCGAAACTGAATTATTTTGTCTCCGAGGTAAAAGCCGAATCAAATTAATAAATAAGATAAATTAATGTTAAATGAGTCAAAACAAGTTGCTACTTCATATTTAATTTATATTTATCTTATAATAATGCCTTCTTCCATCGAAAGAAGTACCGGTAACTATTTTCTTAAGTTTTCAGAATCTTTACTATACGTTTCTAAACGTTTATTTATTCTTTCTACTACATTTTGCTGCTGACTATGTTCTTGGACATATTCATGCATGAATGTTCTTTTCTTAGTTACATATTGACCCTTGTCCAATTAAATCGGGTTACTTTTCACCCACGATATAAAAGTGACTAGATAAAGTTTAAGAGACATAATCTGTTCTATAAATCGCTTTATTAATTCTAAACAACATGAAAAATTTACGTTAAAAGTTATCTTGTCTCATCTCAGGTTTTCATTCTTAAAGGTGGAATTGACGAAATTCATTATTTAGTATTTCATTTTTTGCATGGTGTCAATTTGATATTAAAAGCTAGATTATACTGTAGAAATGAGGGAGGGATGAGGGTTACGTAAAACATGATCCAATGAGAGTTGAGGTTTTGGGTGATTACAGAAATGGTTTGACATTTGAGCAGAACATTCTTGTCTTCTGATACCTGTGAAAATACCTGTAGCGATAATAGTTCACCTCACCTTTGTTACTTCAGGCTTTCTTCATAGGAGTGGAGCGGACAATCAGAGCATAATAATAATAATAATCGTATGTATATACTTTATTTATTGTAACAAATTCAAAGTTACCTTTGCTTCTTTTACATATGAACAATTAACAGAATCTCGTTTTGTATTTGTGAAATGTCTAAGTAGATCAGATTTTTGGATTAAGTTTGCGTTTACGTTAATTTTCCTTTATTCTTGCTTTCCATTTATTATTTTAATTTCATTTAATTATCCGTAGAAAATGCGATGCATGTGAAAAGTCGTATACAACGTAGATAATATTTTTTTCACCGACGAACGACGCACCATTCAACGTTTTTACCGGCATTATATAAAATACGTAGGCAATGTACAAAATTAAACTCTTTTTACATTACGCTCAATACACTGTGCTCACATACACAAAGTTACGGAAGGCTTCAACGAACGACCTCGAAGATGCGCGAAGGCCTAAGGGTGTGCTCGCAACGGTGTTCGACTCTCTCCGATTGCATCTCTGCAATTTAGACCCAATTGATTAATTGGCACTCTGAAAATTGCTGAAGTGATTGTTCTAATTTTATAATCTCTTTGCGGAAATCACGACTATCTTCGAAATCGTGACTATCTTCAAAATCGTTATCATATCATCGTAATTTTATTTTCATTTCGGATAATTCACAAGGGGCTGAATTACACCCACTGTTTATGGTCGTGCTAAAGAATTATTTTTCGCCACTTTACTTTTAAGCCTTGGACAGCGGTGCATGATTCAAATTTAATTTAGATTATAGATTCGAGTTGATTATAATTTGAATTTTTGAATTAAATTTTCTAAAAATTTCCACAAACGTTGTGTTTACGATCGTTTGATAACGAATCTGGCGAAAGTATATGTTATCGCGACTACGACTTTCTTTATCTCTCGCCTTCGAATAATCCAATGAAAATGGAAAAATGATCTTTTGCTGGAAAGTGGTCACGTACAAATTGATTCTCGGTTTTAACGAATACTATTTTGTTTAAAATACACATTTGAAACATGCTTCCATTAATTTCATGGAAAATTAGGTTCTCCCGGAATGTTGTGAAACGACTATCTTTTAATATGAAGTTTCATAATTAAAATGTTAAATTTAAATTAAATTTTATACTTCCTATGTATGAGTTCCTCAGCTTTAGTGTTGGTTTTCCCGGGAGCGTGTAACAATCTTAAATGTAATTTAAAATGTGTTTCTTCACTTTTCCTGAAGTGAACGAATGAAAAGTGGACAGATGCAACAATACAAAATTATTCGTATGTGCAATGTTTATTCATATGTTATTCATAGTCTTTAACGCAGTGGTATTAATGTCAAATTCAAATCGCTTGATGCACCGACTGTCCGGATCAACGTACCTCGGTACTTTTCTAGATCATAATGCCGACACGGTAGTGTCGCAGCGGTGGTCCTCGCAGAGGAAGTAGGGTTCCTGCTCCCCAAGATCAGCGTTACACGGTTTGTAATTATGAACGGAACAAAATTCAGTCACAGGCAAGAAGCACTAACTAATGGTCGCTGATTGTTTGACGATGGCACTTCTTGTCTTTCGCTTTCTATTGGTTTCCCTATGTTTCTCACGTTCTACGAAGATGCTTTCTAACAGCACCACATACATGGATACAGATTTAACAAATAGATTTTCTCGATAAAAGCTTGTTTTTCATAAAAATTTGGTCTTAGAGTAAAATGTTTCAAATCCGTATTATACATATAAACTTCGACGTAGAATTTTTATTCATCTCTCGTCCTTTTCTCGAAATAATGCTATAGTTAGGCTGCGGATCTTAATGCAAATTTTCATTTTCATATGGTTATCTACAAAGTTTAGTATTTAAGAAAAGTTTCCTTCGTCAACTAAAAGAATGTAAAAGTTCTATTAGATCATGCTGGTCTATACGCTTTCATGCACTTGAAAATCTGCATATACCATAAATGCATAAAGATCCGCACATATACCATATATGTTAAATACCATAGATGCATAAAGTTATAGTAAAAGATTATATCGTATAACAAATTGACTTTGTATATTCCTTCTTAGAAAATAAAAACTAATAGTAAGTGGCGTAAGTTTCTGAGGGTAAAAATTCAGAGTGTTCTTTCTGTTGTCTTACAAATTATTTTAAAAATTTGAACTTTAAATTGTGCACTTCCGAAATAATTACATGAAAAATCCCAGGATACTTCAAGCAATTTTCACACTTCGAATAAACAAATTCAGTTTTATTTGTAATTAGAGACGGATTTAGATTTTTGCCGCCCTAGGCTAACATATTTTTGATGTCCCGTAAGGGAAAGGAAAGATAATGGTAAGCATATAAAATACTAGATTTAGTATTTTTTTTTTTTATGAAAACATATTATTTATTATTTTAATTTTGTTGTGCTTTAACAAGGCGTCGGTCTCGACCAAACTATTAGTCCAGTTGAAATGTAATATAATATGTAGGAAATAATTAATATTTTTTGTTCAATTCATAATAATCAGTTGTAAAGCTAGTTAAGGTCGTATGATTTTTTACTGTACATAGAAGAACCTAAAGTGGAATTTTCCACAAAAATCGCCTCTCTAGGCTAGAGGTTGTAACACCGGTAGTAACACGTTACTTATCTCAAGATATATGACAGATATTAATGCACGGTTCAGATATATGAATGTATAATGTAAAATGACTTTTGAACCACACTCATCGATACTACTTAGGTAAATACAGAACTTAACTTTTCTTACTGCTTTAAAATTGTGATATAAAGACGATGAAAGTTAATCCTACGCTCCATGATCAAGTCAGACTCGCGATGGAGATTTCAAACAGAATCTGCATAAATGTGCATGCTATTAATCTCTGCTGCATCGAAATCAAATTCTGTATAAATTTTAGAGAAG